TGTTGCGACATAATTTAGATGTGATGCATATTGAGAAAAATGTATGTGACAATATTTTGGGGACAATCTTAAATGTCAAAGGAAAAACCAAAGATACCATAAAAGCTCGATTGGATTTGCAAGCAATGAACATAAGGAAAGAATTGCATCCAATTAAAAATGGGGATAAATATGAGCTACCAACAGCATGTTACACGTTATCTCTGGAAGAGAAAAACAAATTTCTCAGATTCCTAAAGAACTTAAAGGTCCCAGATGGATATTCATCAAATATATCTCAGTGTGTCAACACTAAAGATTGCAAAATTTCAGGCCTAAAAAGTCATGATTGCCATGTTCTTCTACAACATTTACTTCCACTTGCTATACGTGGTATGCTTTGCAAATCTGTATGTGAACCTCTTATTGAGTTGTCTTTATTTTTCAACTTGCTTGGAGCAAAATGTTTAAGAATGGATGAGTTAGAACAGATAGCAGCTCAAATTCCTATAACTCTGTGCAAGTTAGAAAATGTATTCCCTCCTTCATTTTTTGATGTAATGGTGCACTTGCCGATTCATTTAGCTAATGAAGCTATGATTGCTGGACCTATTCAATATCGATGGATGTATCCACTGGAGTGATGGCTATACTTTTTGAAATCTTTAGTTGGCAATAGGGCTTGCCCGGAAGGTTCTATCGCGGAGGGATATTTGGCAACTGAATGTTTGACTCTTTGCTCAAGGTACTTGCATATAATGAAAATAAAGTTTAATCGCCTTGAGCGGAATTATGATGGTGGTGTTATTGAATCTGATGGAGGTTTAACCATTTTTTCTCAACCTGGAAAAGAATTAAGAGATGGAAAATTGGACAAACTTAATCCAGATGAATTAGAGCAAGCACATATTTATATTTTGAAGAACTATGATGAAATTCAACCATTTCTCGAGTAAGTATTGATTCGACATAATAATTCACATATACTTTATCCATGATTTCAATTAGAATGACATTTTATTGTTTAATTTTTTGTAGAGAGTTTTCAGAAATTCCAGGTGATACCTCTCAAAAACATTCAGATAGGGAGTTCATTAGTTGGTTAAAAAAAAAGGTTAGTACTAGTTATATACTATTGCTCTTTTTTAAAACATAATTTTTTATATAGTATTTGCTAATTAAATTATATAATTGATTTTGATAGGTTGTAGAATTGTACAAATGTGATAACAGTAAGAAAATGAAAGATTTGCTCACTTTGTCACGTGGTCCCCTGCCATATGTGAAACGTCTCAAAGGTTACATTATTAATGGATATAGGTTTCATGTGGAAGAGTATGACAGGGGTTTGAGAACTCAAAATTGCAGGGTGGTTATAGTAGGAGAGACAGATGAAGAGAATAAAAATATTGATTATTATGGAGAACTCACTGAGATTCTTGAATTGCAATTTATTGGAGGAAAAAGAGTGATCTTGTTTAGATGTATGTGGTTTGATGTGTATGACCAAGAAAAGGGAGTTAAAATGGATGAATATGGCTTTGTGAGTGTTAATCCTCAGCGATTATTAAAAACTAATGAGCCATTTTGTAACGATCCGACCGGTCGTTTTGAGCCCTAGCGCGTCGTTCAGCAGTCTAAGGCCATGAGCAGCTTCATTTCAGGTATTATGACTTGTACGCATGGTCGGAATTAAATTCCGGGAAGTTCGGAGTTGATTTGGAAAGAGAATTCTCATTTCAGAAGCTTAAAGTTGAAGGAATCAACTAGGATTGGAATTTTGAGTAAACGACATCGGAATCGGGATCTGAAGGTTCCAGTAGGTTCGTATGATGATTTCGGACTTGGGCGTATGCTCGGATTGGGTTTTGGATGACCCCGGAGCATTTTGGCGCCTATTGTGGAAGTTGGCATTTTGGAAGAAATTTTATAAGTTTGGCTTGAAGTGCATTTCAGTGTTACCGATGTCCGTTTGGGATTCCGAGACTGGGAGTAGCTTCGCATGGTGATTCTGGAGTTGGGAGCGCGACCGGAAGTGAATTTGGAGGTCCGTAGGTCATCTTGGAGCTATTTGGCTAAAGATAGAAAATTGAAGGTTTTTGAGAAGTTTGACCGGAAGTGGACTTTTTGATATCGGAGTCGGAATGCGATTCCGGAAGTTGGAGCAGGTCCGAAATGTCAAATATGACTTGCCTACAAAATTTGGGGTCAATCGAATGAGATTTGATAGGTTTCGGCATCGGATGTGAAAGTTAGAAATTTCAAAGTTCATAAAGATGAATTTTGGCGCGATTCGTGATTTCGACGTTGTTTGATGTGATCTGAAGCCTCGACTAAGTCCGTGATATGTTTCCAAACTTGTTGGCACGTTCGGACGGGGTCTCGAGGGGCTCGGGTGAGTTTCGGGGTGGTTTCGGACCATTTCTAGGCCATTTATAACTGCTGGTTTTTGGCTACAGCAGTGTTCTATGCGATCGCGAGGAACTAGTCGCGATCGCGTTGAGTAAAATGTGAGAAACGGGCCAGTGAATCGCGATCGCGTAGAGTAAATATTCTGCTGCACTGACTCGACTTCGGAGGCTCATATCTCACAATCTATAAGGAATTTTGAGATGATTTAAAAATGAAAGTTGTAGCCCTTTGTTTCTAGTTTCTAGGAAAGGAAACCATTCATGAATTGGATTTGTGTACAAAGAGATATGGCTGTTACACTACAGGGTGTCCGGGAAGATGAAAAAGAAAGTTGTGTTACACATGGGCTGACTTTGACAGATTATATCTAGAAATCTATAAGGAATTGGGAAATGAGCAACACATGAAAGTTGTATATCTTTGAGTCTAGTTTTCAGAACATTTAACCATTTGTCATTTGGAGTTGTGTGCAAAGAGTTATGGCTATTCTACTAGAGGCTGTCCGGAAGACTGGGAAATTATTCTCCGCGATCGCGAAGCTCTTTCCGCGAACGCGAAGAGTAAATTTTGGGCTGGAAAAATTGTTCTCCGCGATCGCGAAGCATTTTCCGCGATCGCGATGAGTAAATACCTGGGCAAATGATATTTTAGCGGGTTTATCTCATTTTTCTTCATTTCTTTAAAGCATGGACGATTTTTGGAGAGCTTCAAGAAGGGATTTCGTCATCTATGTTAAGATAAGTTACTCCTACTCATTTCCAAGTTAAATACAAGATTATATCATGGAATTAGACATGAAAATTGTGGAAAAATTAGGATTTTTGGAAGAAAACCTAGAAACTTGATAAATTGGATTTTACCACGAATTTGAGCATGGAATTAGGAGTAAATTATATATTTGAGCTAGTGAAGCTATGGGTAGAGTATATCTTCGAGAAATTTCGGAATCCGGGCACGTGGGCCCGAGGGCATTTTGGTCATTTCACTAAGCGGAGTTGGGAATTATAATTTGAATTGTTAACAAGTATTTGAGTATATTCTCATTAGTTTGCCATTATTTGGCTAGTTTTGGAGCATTTTGCAACGATTCGAATCGTCGGGAAGGCTTGGAGGCCGTTTATGAAATTTCAGAGTGAGGTAAGTCTCCTTTCTAACCTTCTAAGAGGGAATTGTCCCCATAGGTGAAATAATTAATTATGTGCTCCTATTTGTGGGGCTACGTACGCACGAGGTGACGAGAGTCCGTGCATAGCTACTATTATGCTATTATCCGGGTAGTTAGGACCCAAAAGCATGCTATACTTGGATTAATTGTAAGCTCATTGATAGTTTGGATTGCTTAGATTGCATTGAATTAGTAAATGAATTCCAAAAAGAATTAAACTTTAATCTCTTAAATTGTTAAAAAGAGGACTGGCTTTTAATTGGACAAATGCTCCCTGATAAATCCTTAATTGGCTATTTGAGCATATATTTTTAAGTGAACCTGCGTCGCATGATTGATTCGCGAGCAGGGTGATTGTTTATTTTATGTTGACCGCGTCGCATGGATAGTTCGCGAGCGGGGTAATAGATGCATCTATGGTTCGAGCCGTTCGACCCTCGGCAATGCACAATTTACATTTTTGTTGGAGCGGGCCGTCGACCTCAGCATGATTTGCGCATGATATATTGTCGCTTGAGAATTTTTAACTGTGAAATTACCCTTCGTGGCTTGATTTAAATTGATAAGATAATGAAAAGTAAACCTTGAAAATCCCTTATTATTTTTTGAAGGTGTTTTGCCTGTTTTCCGGCTTTGTGAGTTAGAACTGCTGTATAAAATCCCTGATTTCCTCACACTTTTAGTATATTATTATTAGACCACTAGTAAGTATCGAAGTTGACCATCTCGTCTCTACTTCTTCGAGATTAGGCGGGATACTCATTGAGTACACGTTGTTTACGTACTCATACTACACTTCTGTGCATTTTTGTTACACAGGTATATGTAACCCTAGTGGCCTACTGGGCGTAGCAGTGCGGATGATTCCGGGACTAGGTGAGTTGCATTATTCGAGGCGACCCGCAGCTAGTATAGCCCCTTTCAGTATAGTGTATTTATTTCTTGTCCACTGTATTTCGGACGGATGTTGTATTTTATTTCCTTATCTGTAGATGCTCATGCACTTGTGACACCGGGTTCTGGGAGGATTTTTGGATTATTCAGTATTAAGTCTTTTTTCGACTTTATGTTCATTTTTGTAAAATTTTTATTATCTAATATTTAACGTATAAGAAAAAATGATTTCCGCAAATACAAAAACTGGAATTTAATTATGCATTCTTGGTTGGCTTGCCTGATAGCGGTGTCCGGCGCCACCACGACCCTTAGTGGATTTTGGGTCGTGACACATTTGTATTAGCAAACCAAGCATTACAAGTATTTTATTTCGATGATCCTTCAAATAAAGGCTGGCATGTTGTAAGAAAAGTTCTGCCTCATGATACTTTTGACATTTTGCAAGAAAAGGATGATGATTTGGAGAATTTAGAGAATTCTACACAAATGAAAAAGAAAAGAACTCATGAAGGTTTTTAATGCTGTTAATATTTATTTCATTCGGCCTCTTGCTTCTTGCTTTTCTAGGCATAACTCGTTTACAGTACGTCAAAATTTGGCTAATAACTTGAGAAAAGAAGTTTTCTGATTTAGTTTTTATGCATCACTTTTACTCGGTATGCATTTTCAATATTTGGCTTGTAATGTGAGTGTTGTTTGTATGCCCTTTCTGAAAGCTTTCCTTAGGATTTTGATCTTTCGCTGACTTGTTGACTGCATAATGGAGAGCTGTATTCTGTGTGTATTACGTACTAGCAATTTTAATGTTGATTCTCTGAAGAATCTTATTGCTGTAGAGACATGTCTTCATTCTAACTTTATGGTTTCTGTTTCTTTGCCTTCCTCTATCTCACCTACATCTTCATATCTTCTCTGTTACTTTTCTCTCTGAAATGAAAATGATTTGTTGCATGTTGTTTTTCAGAAATTGGTCTAAGCTTGTAGGTCGCACCTCCAAGATTCTGGACAACTCCGGTGAGTTGCTTGCATTTCCATGGTCTTGCTTTATTGCTATCAGTAGTTGTTTTGAATATAGTTTTAGCTAAATTTTGGTACATATTAGTAATTGTACATGATTTACATTAATAATTGTACCCGATTTACACACTCATTGTCGCTTTGATGAATTTTTTCTTAAGGTATCAAAAATGATTGTAATTTTGAAGTGGACTTTGCACTCATGTGTTTGATGATATGTCTAAGTCATCTTCTTTGGAGTATTCTGTTGTCCTCCTCCTATTTGGGGTAAATCTCTAGGGGCATCTGAGCAAGGACTCTTTTAGAAGAAAGTATTATCTTTCTTTGAGCATTCTGGGGCCAATTTATGGACTTGAGTAACCATCTGACTGTTACCATCTTCCACACACTAAAGATGTAGGGTATGATTGTTAGTTACATGTTATTGATATTATTATTTTTCTTTGTTTGGTAGGTTGTTCTACCTTATCCTTTGAAATTGCAGAACAGTAAGAGTACACGAATAATCCAGTGTAGTATTAATGGCCGCTTTGCGCACTATCCCTTTTTTGTTCTTATAGACTTATTTACTCACCTGAGAAAATCTGAGGAACATCTTGATACTGAAAATACTGTAAAAATTACGGATGATATAATAGACTCCCATCGACCTTTTTGTTTTTCCTTTGGAATTGGAATACTACAAGCTTGAATTTCTTTTGATTTCTTATGCATTGCACTTAGAAATATACTTTCTCTGTGAAAAATCATCCTCCTTGTTATTCATTTGAAGGGATCCATTGCAGGCGATGGTCTTTCGTCATGATTCTATTATAAATTTCTTCATCTTAAAGTCAGTGATTCATTTGCTTTGATTTTGCTTCTTCCAGACCTATTTCCAAGCCAAAAGAGGAAGAATTTGCCTCCTTTTCGCTTAAGAGTTGATGGAAAATGTGGTTCCATCAAATTTCTTTTACAAGTTTATTTAATTGAGAGATTTCTTCTATTCTATCATATTTAACTCTTGGATTGTAATTCATGTACGGTGACTGAACTTCTACATAGGGTGATAATAGCATAAAGATAAGCTTAGCTTAAATAGCTGGTGATCATACGAGATATAGCCTACATTCCGAGTTTCTTCGCCTTGTACGTTGTGAAAATTGCCTTTCCCCCTCTCCTATGTGTTATTTTGAGCTTAAATTTTTCTGCTCCTCATATCTCAAGGATGTAGTTGAGGTTTCTTAAAATAGTTCTGTAGATTTTATCTTTTGCTAACTCAGGAGTATAAAAATAATTTTGCTTTTAACAAATTATGGCAACTTTTAGTGGCCTTTTTTGTGTTTCCAGAACATTTTTTCTTTGTTGTAGTGACATGTATTTTAAATGTATTTGTGTCATGCCATCAACATAGTGGACATACAATTTAAATAGAAATGAGAGTTTGGGTGTACGAGCATGGGTAGTTTTGAATTGTCAATTTAGATCATACTTTAGTCTTAGGATGTAATGTCAACGGTTGTAAAACACGTGTCTTTCCCCTTTACCCAATAAAGAAAGAAGTAGTTTTATCAATACACCTCATTTAAATCCTAAACCAGATAGAATTCGAATGTCAATTTCTATTATATAGAAAAAGCAACAGATTTGGGTGAAGCTCTAAGCCTCTATCCGGTCTAGATGACAAATAGACAGTCGAAATTCATCGGTTGAAGCTCGGTAAGCTTTTACTATTAGCTTTTGTGTTGCTAATTCTATTTATTCATAGCAAAACGATTTCCAATATCAGGCTAAGAATTGCTAGGTGTTCCACAAGAAGACATCACTCATTGAGGCTCCACCTTTCTTGCCTTCTCTGGTGAGTGACAATTGAATTTTCTCCTTTTGCTTTATTGTCATAAATTTTGGCTACTGGATGTGCTCTATCTTCTGCTTTGAGTGAATTGAATTGTAAAGTAGTCCCTTCCATCGACTTGCAAGGGAAAATAGAAAGTGAAAATAAACAAATGGGGGTATTGAAGTTGGTATTAATGTGTTGCAATTATTGTGTTCGAGGAATTACATGTAATAACAAATGTGTTGTTGCACTATTCAAATTTTCTGTATTTTATTAGGATGCTTTCGTGTTGCATGTTCTAATCCCGTCTCCAAATAAAATTTTGGGGTCAGATTTTTCATAATTTTCATCTGCTTGAAAGTAAATCACGAAAGTTAGATCCTTGCTCTAATTCTATGTAGTACTGATGATTTTTGCTAATCTGGGCCATATAATGAGATTGGTCGATTTTCGGTGAAACTGAAAATCTTTCTACTCCAGTCCTGTTTTAGAAAATAATGCATTTAGATCGCTGGAAGGCAATATGGTGAAAAAGCTACCTTAAAAGTAGCTTGCTGTAGTTGGAATAGCCTATGGAGTAACTTTGACATGTTGCTAATGTATTGTTGCACTACTCAAATTCTCTGCTTATTGAATGTTGAATGCATGTGGTTAGTTTTCTGCTAATGGTTATGCACGTGTAAAAGGAAAATAATGGGTAAAGTTATTATCTTTACTTTAATATGTGATACTATTTATGGTTGGATACTAACTGGGGTTTTGACTTCAGGTTCATATAGTAGTCTGTTTTGGGTATGTCAGGAAACTTAACAAGATGGAATTTTGGAATGGTGCCTGTGTATGTAAAAGAGATCTACTATTTGCTTTGACTTTTCTTCTCAGCTAACAGTTACTCCATACTTTTATTTATTTTAGGTTGACATGAATCCATCAAAGTCTGAAATGGGAGCAACTTCAAAGAATGTACATCATGCATATATTCAACCTGGTGCTTTAGCAAGGGGAAGAGGACACAACTTTGGATCTTTGGGATCTGTAAAAATAAGTATTGGAAAGAGAACTTTGATTGGCGAAAGTAAAAATCACAACTCAACAGCTTTTGATCAGAATAAGCTTGCACATAATAATAATCTTGTGCCCCCTGGTTTCGCTTCGATGGAAGACGATGCTCCCCTTGCTCAAGACGCTGAAGCGAAGCAAGGTCTCTTAAGTTTTAGCTTTTTTTTTTTTTGTTTCTTATTGAACCGGTATTGGTTTTATGTTTCACATAAATCAAAATTTGCAGAAACAGGAGGAGCTTTGAAGAATGTAAATCTTGCATACATTCAACCTGCGTCTTTAGCAAGGGGACGAGGGCAAAGCTTTTGATCTTTGGGCTCTGCAAAAGTAAATGTTGACAAAAAAAATCTGTTTGGAGAGATTAAAAATTACAACTCAGGGGCTTCTAGGCAGAATAAGCTAGCACATAATAGTAATAATCTTATGCCTCCTGGTTTTGATATGATGGAAGAAGATGTTCCCTTCACTCAAGAAGCTGAAATGATGCAAGGTCTCAAGTTTTAATTATTCTTTTTTGTTTGTTATAAGACTGGAAGTTATTTTATGCTTTACTCAAATCAAAATCTGCAGAAGTTGGAGCTACTTCGAAGAATGTACGAGACACTTGCAGTCAACCTGGTGCTTTAGCAAGGGGATGCGGGCAAAACGTTAGATCTGTGGGCTCGGCAAAAGGAAGCGTTGGAAAGAGAAATCTTGTTGGGGAAAGTAAAAGTCACAACTCAGCAGCTTGTGAGCAGAATAAGCTAGCACATAATAGTAATAATCTTATGCCTCCTGGTTTTGATATGATGGAAGAAGATATTCCCTTCACTCAAGAAGCTGAAATGATGCAAGGTCTCAAGCTTTAATTATTCTTTTTTGTTTGTTATAAGACTAGAAGTTGTTTTATGCTTTACTCTAATCAAAATCTGCAGAAACTGTAGCTACTTCGAAGAATGTACGAGACACTTACAATCAACCTGGTGCTTTAGCAAGGGGACGCGGGCAAAACGTTAGACCTGTGGGCTCGGTAAAAGGAAGCGTTGGAAAGAGAATTCTTGTTAGGGAAAGTAAAAATCACAACTCAGCAGCTTCTGAGTAGAATAAGCTAGCACGTGATAGTAATAATCTTATGCCTCCTAGTTTCGATCCGATGGAAGACGATGTTTGTCTCGCTCAAGAAGATGAAATGATGCAAGGTATCAAGTTTAATATTATTTTTGTTATGAGATTGGAATTTAATTTATGTTAAAAATTAAAATTTGCAGATCTATGTGAATCTGCAAACCCAAAAGAGGTGAGAGAAAAGAATAGAAATAAAGATGTTGCGGGACTCAAACCTGGAGAAAAGTTTAGAGTCAACTTTTACCACAATCGGGTTGTTGGGAAGCATCAAGCCTTATTTTTGAGACACTTGGGTATATTAGTTCGTGATCGTAATATGTGTCCGTTGCAAGTACATTCATGGAAGGACATCGGAGAAGATAAGCTGGAACACATGTGGCGAGCTATTACGGTAAGAATCTAAAGCACTATAAAGCAATATTTTAATTGAAAGTACTTGAAATTTTTGTTACCGTTCCCATGCTAATTCCACAAAGTGATCTGTTGCATTTTACATTCAATTAGTTTCACTGCATCCCTTGTCGGGATCACTTCTTGAATCTCTAGGTCTAACTGAGACAGTGTGTTCTGTGAATATGAAGTGTTATCTAATTAAGATGCTAGTTAGAATTTTAAAAAAATCTCAAATAGATCTTTTTGTATCACCATTATTGCCCCAACTTTGAACATAATGAATCCAGTGAATCTTCCAAATTAATGTCCAAACCTGCATCTGCATCTTCCTTGAGTGTGTGAGTAAGCAATTTTTGTATCTTGCATTATCCAGATTTGTAGTGATGAGCTGAAGAAGCCACGATCATTATATCCTTTGGTTTGTATATAATTAATGCAAATGCATTGTACCAGCTGTAGCACCTTGTGATCCACCGCAACTGCTCTGTAAAATATGACATCTTTATACCAGCAGTTGTGCGCATGAGTGAGTTTGCATAGTTTGCTGCAGATCTCTTATGAGTTCGAGCAAAATTCTGAGACCAACTTTGTTCGGTAGCCTCCTGGTATATGGGGGTAATGAAGTGCACTGAGATTTTAGTCCAGATTTTATGAATCTTTGTGAATGCTGAAGATCCTAGGTCTTACGCAATGTAACTGAAAACAATTACATTTTGTTTGAAACAGGAAAAACTATCTTTAGTTTACATGAAATTTTTTACTTTCTTGATTAATGATTTTGCAAAATATTTAGGACAAATTTGACAGTGATGACATGAATCATCGAAGTGATCATGTGTTAAATCATATGAGAAAGTTATGGAACAATTGGAGAGGATCATTGCACAAGTATGTGAAGTTTAAGCCATTGCATGAAGCACTAAAAGATGTCCCGGAAGAGGTAGACGAGAGTGATTGGAAATGGTTGGTCAAGGAACATTTTTTAAGTGAAAAATTTAAGGTAAGACTTCATAACTACTTTTAACTTCTTATTATTTTAAGTAATATCTCATGACTTCAATGGTTTGTTCTTAATATAGGAAACAAGTATTAGAAACTCGATCAATAGGTCTAAGTTGAGAACGCCTCATCGTACGGGTAGCAAGCCGATTAGAGAAATTATTTACGAACTGGTAAGTGCACAGTGCAATCCTATAAAAAAAATCTCGTCTTTGTTCGACTTGTTTATTTAAATGTGAAGGGAGGCAAAGACGGTAATCCACCGAACATGGCGACTATCTTCTTTGAGACTCACAAGAAAAATCACACGCTTGTAGAGCCTGAAGCCGGTGAAAAATATGTATGCTTATTGATGAACTTCATTTTACATCCTTCATTTTATTTTGATGTATTTTATTATTTTAATTTTTCTTGTATTTTATAGGCTGAGATACAAGAACTGGTACAATCTGAGCCATCTCTTACGAATATCGAGGTAGTAGAAAGATGCTTCGGACCTCAAAACAAGAGTCACGTGGTTGGATTAGGGGGTGGTATAACCACTAAGGAGTTGAAAGGCGGTAGCTCCTCAAAGGCTGCAATACTGGCTGAGCTGAATGCAGTTCGAAAAGAAAAAGAATCACTACAGACCGAGCTGAATGCAACTAAAAAAGCAAAAGAATCACTAGAAATACGTATGGACGACATAGATTCTAAGTATGCACATATTATCAGCTTACTGGGTGATCAGCCTTCATCAGCACCATCTTCAAGTCAACAAAGTACAAGCTGAAATTAGTATTTAACAGGTTCGTAAGCTTTCTACCAACTATGACCTGATGAATATCCTTAAATAAATTTAGTGAAGTCTTTTGTTGTTAGTTAAATAATGTACTGACCTTGACATATGTACAGTTACTCTAATATTGAAATCCAATTAGATATGTGCATCTCAGATTCATTGTTTGAACGTATAACATTATTTGAGATTTGAGGTCCAGATCTGTTTTCCGTTGCTTGCACAGATAGCCAAATCCTTTTTGCAAAATGTTGATCAATGTGCAGGTTAGTGACAATGAAATAGTTAAAAATCTGGGTGTCACTGATGTGCAGGGTGCAAATGTACTTAGAAATTTAAGTTTTTCTAAGAAACTACACCAGAAAATAGGCAATAACAAGAAAACAAGGAGGAAAAATACAAAACGCTCTTTGCGGAGAGGGAAGGGAAGGGTGTATGAAGTTATTAAAATCAAGTGATACTTTACATAAAGTAAAAGTTAAGCCACCAACCTGACTAAAGTAGTCATCCAAAAACATTATAGCATGAGCGTCATGTCCAGTACTTTATTTGAACGTACGTATAACTCTTTCCCTCCTAAGTGACTGTGACATAGATACTCAAAACATCTCATTAGCTGTTACAATTAGGTGCAATGCAGAAAAATGAGAGACTGCAAAATGCAAAAGAGAACTTCAGAAGGTGTAAATTGAAAAGTAATTGGTCATCAAAACTCAAAACGGGGTCTACAAGCTATTCATGACAGACTCAGTAACCAGTAAAAATTGCTGCACCCACAAGATGCAATTATACCAAATTCATTGGACCACATTTTGTGCAAAAATAATCTTACTTAAGGCAGAGATGACTTAAAGAGCAAACTCATGAAACTCCCTTCGTTGAGATTTTAATGTCATTTCTATTGCCTTTCCATTCCTGCTGCTCCATTTTTCCTCCCAGTAGTTCTTGCATATGTAGGAAAGAATAGTTCTGCCCTACATACTGTTGAGTAAGTTTACTGTACAACAACGAACCAGTACACTATATTTGCGATCATTTTTGTGTGTCATCTCTCTGCTTCCCCTTGAAACCTTTGCCTGTATTCCATATTGGTGTAATAGCATGTTGCATTGGTATTTATTCCACTTTGTATCCAATGTGCTTGAATTGTATTTCCAAAGACTGTATAGCAAGTTTTCTGCCCAGCATTGTTCAGTGGTGATGCTTAGCCAATTACACGTGTAAGAGTGCTAGTTAATTTTAATAGGTTTGTCATTATCTTCACTTATACATGCAAAGAGGAGAAAATTAATGCTACAATACCATCCCGTCAAGAACTGGCTTCAATCCCTTGGCCTTATGTGTGTCATACCATATGCGAAATTCTTTCCAAGGTCTTGGAAAGAGAAGTTGACCCCAAGTGCCGACCAACTGGTACAAGAAAAGTTGAGTTCCATCATCTATCTGCATCTTGTTTCCATGTTTACCTGGTAGTAAGGATAATGGTGATATGAGGCTACAACACAGAAATGATGGTAATACCTCCTTTAATTGCCCTACTTCAATGCCCAATGTTGACCCTTTTAGTGATTCTGGTTGGGATCCACTTCTATCATTGAATCAAAAGGAGAGTTTTAACGGATCTTCAGTTGTCTGTTGTCTGCTAGTTTATTGAAATGCAGAAATGGTACCTGTATACAGGCTGCTTCTGGCAGCTCATGCTACAATTTATATGTGTCTCTTGGCCTACTCTACATACATTCATAGATACAGGAAAGAGAAGACTTCAGTTTAGAGGGTGAATGCTCATTCTCATTACATATGCATACTGATTGATAGAAAATATAATTGTAAAAAAGGTGGATTTAGTAATGTAGTTGTAAGAAGCACTGATTGTTCATAGTATTTTGAGATGCTCTTCGCTTCATGATTTTACATTTTACTGTGTTGTAGCAACTTATCAATCTTAAATCTTGTTTTCTTACTCAACTAATATGTACCTTTTTTAACAGATTAGAAAAAGGGCCTGAAGTTTGAAGAATCTTCTATAAAGATAGTTCCGAGCAAGTTGAAGCAGCTAGAATTGTTGAAGACCAAGGAAAATCTATTATGTTTTATTAGGAGTTGTAGTCGTCATCCGTACAAACTACTATTTTACTTTCTCTTTAATTTTTTGTTTTCTTTAAGGAATTGAAAACATGGATCATGCAATTTGGATGTAATATTAGTGCTACACTTTGATTAGTTCTCTATCTATAATTAAAAAGATGTTTTATGTCAATATTGACTTCATTGTTTGTATGATTCCGAATGCGTGTAATATATTTATTACTTAAAAGTTCACATTTGCAAAGGGAAATTTTGGTTTTTAAAAAGTATGTCGTTAAAAGTACATACAATTAACGAATGGAATTCCGGTCGCCATACACTAACAACGACTGAAAATTAGTTACCATTAGTGAAGGTTTTAACGACTGGGACGACATATAACGATGGAAAAATCCCCTCGCTAATCTTGGTATAACTACTGGATTCCTTGCCATCGTTAAAAGAGTTTTTACGACGGGATCATAATCCGGTCGTTTATCTTTAACGACGGAGGCACTAACGACCGGCGACGACCGGTTTTTATCCCATCGTAATTGACTGATAACGACCGGATTTGGAGTTTTAACGACCGAATTTCCCATCGCTAAAGACCTATTTTCCTGTAGTGAATACTATTAGCATGAATGGTAATATGCAAACTATGAACATATTTGGTAATATAGTTTCATATATGGTATATATACGAAAATTTCCCAAAAGGAAAACTATCAGCTATGCATATTTAACTAGCTCATTATAAAAATTAGCCAATTCATAAAATATTACTAATATTAGCCAATAGCTATTTGTAGCAAAAAAATGTTAAATTTTTGCTTTCTTTTGAGTGAATGTTATTAGAATAGATCGGATACATCTTAAGGAGCTTGAATCTCAACTTTGGGATGATTTGGTAAAGTTTTGAGGTGGTTTGAATTGAAAATTCGAAGTAAAAACTAAACATGAAAAAATGATATGTGTATCATTTGTGTATCACATATGTATCATATTTGTATCAATTGTGTATCACATGTATATCCATGTATATATGTGTGTGAGATACATGCGTGATACATGTTTGATACATGTGTCACAGAAGAATTTTTTGAGCTCGATTTAATTACGAATTTTGATACAAAATCAGTCCAAATCACCTCCAATCTTCCTCAAATTTTGTATATTGCTATATGTTTTCAATGAATTTCAACTATACCTATTTTGAAAAATTTCTTTTTTGCTTAGATTTTTGGAATATTATATTTTTTTTATTGTATTTCACCACCTTCTTTGCTACCTCATCCATGAAATTTTCTTTCCGTCTTGTATCTAATGTTGCTAATCACGGTTAAAAATATAGAAGGTGATTTTTGCATGTGATTCTTTGAAAGAAAAAACCTTATATAAATGTTTTTTTTTAATTTTTATATGTGTTTGGCTAATTTTGGTAAGTCTATAACTAATGGCTAGAAGATGGTAAGTTGAAATTTATTTTGGGACATTTGTGTAAGTTTCCATATAAAAAAAGAAGGCAATGAAAGTACACATTTAGAAAAGGAAAAGAAATCCATAATGGAAAGGCAATTCAATGGACAGGAACCGCAACTTGCGCCGTCCTCTTGTTTTATGTTTTTCATTTTTGTTTTTGCGTGTCTAATTTTATTTCATCTTTTCTTCTATATGAAAGTTGAAGAAAATTTTAGAAAAATAAAATTTTAAACTGTCTGATGAAAGAAGAAATATATATATATATATATATATAATATATATATATATATATATATATATATAAGCCACACCCACATATATGTGAAAAATTTCCTTGAAGTATATTTATATTTCTTTTTCAATTTTAAATGAATATTTGATAATTAAAGATGTAGTTCATTAATGCTCTTATTATTGTTATAATGAATTTTTTGTATTGTTATAATGATTTCTTTTTCAATTTTAAATGAATATTTGATAATTAAAGATGTAGTTCATTAATTTGTGTGTGTGTGTATGTGAATGCTGTTCTTTTATCAAAGAATCATTTCTACTTTAATCACAAATATACCACGCGAAGCGCAGACTTATTTCACTAGATCTTTAATAACTGACACAGTAGGAACACAACAATTTCACATCCGATAAATGTGGAAGATCCAAAAAGTAACTTGCTTTGAAATTTAAGTTACACTAACCTTCTTATAAATGTTATATGCCTTTGTTATTTACAGTTGTAAAATATTTTCGTTGATTATCTCATGCTTTGAAAGCTTACTTTATGTTTCCTTATTAATGACTTGAATAGTTGGAAATATTTTCACTTTTTCCTTTTCTGCCTATTTGTTAATTAATATATTGGCAAAACAGCTAAATGACCACCTAAACTTGCACCCGTTTGTTATTCTGGTAATTATAACTTACAATTTATCTATTTAAAACGACATGATACTCCGGATAGAAATCAATATACACCATGAGTTTCACGTCGTTGTGTTAAATTATAGAAAAAAGAATTTGAATAACCATTATCGCGTGTCCCTCCAACTCCAAGTTAGGTAGAGGTGGGGGAGTGGGGAAGACAGAAGACCATAGTTGACTACTCATAATTATTCAACTAAAACCCACGTTTGTCAAATTTTAATTTGAATCCATATTTTTCTTTTCAAATGCAAAGCTCTATGCCAACCAGTAGCACAGTCCATGGTGGGCGTACTCGTTTTCCTAGAAACTCAACACTGCAATTTAATAACAAATTACTCACAAACAATGCTTGTCTGTCCCTTTTTTTTATTGTTATATTCTTCCCTTGTGAATCATAACAAAATTACTAGTACTGCAATTAATTTAATCATGGAAAAGCTAGCCTTCTTAAACTGGGGCCACTCCATGTCGTGAAACAAATCGTGGAGATGTACTAACAATTATCAATTATAAATAGATCTCATCACTGCAAGAGGTCCAATAATCCAAACCTTTGCAGAAGAAGACCATTCAGCCTGAGCAGCAGAATACTCCTAACTTACCATCCAAATCTCATCAAAGTATGGAACATCAAGGATTAAGCACCACTATGAGGAAAGTCCTTCTATTGATTAACTGTCTAATACTTGCTGTTGGTATCTGTGGTGGTCCTCTAATGATGCGTCTATATTATGTCGAGGGAGGTTCAAGAGTATGGCTTAGCAGTTGGTTACAAACCGCTGGATGGCCACTCACCCTTATACCTCTTGCCATCCTATATTTCTATCGTCGAAAAGTTGAAGGTTCTAATGCCAAGTTTTACTTGATAACACCCCGAATTTTTATTGCATCATTCGTCATTGGCGTTGTCACTGGTCTTGATGATTTTCTCTATTCGTGGGGCGGGTCAAAACTTCCCGTGTCAACCTCTTCACTTCTTCTTGCTGCTCAACTTGCCTTCACGTCAGTAGGTGCTTTCTTCATTGTGAAGCTGAAGTTCACACCCTACTCTATCAATGCAGTGATTCTGTTGACAGTTGGTGCTGTATTATTGGGTGTTCGATCTAATGGTGATCGACCAGAAGGTGTGACAAGTAAAGCCTATATTCTTGGTTTTATGATGACACTTCTGGCAGCAGCTTTGTATGGAGTCATCTTGCCTTGTATTGAGTTGATTTATTTGAAGGCAAAACAAGTTATTACTGCTACGCTGGTATTAGAGATTCAGATGGTCATGTGCTTTGCCGCTACTGCTTTTTGCACTGTAGGAATGATCGCCAATAACGACTTTCAGGTACTTTTTTCTTCCCTTGTGACACATTTCTACTTATGCATCTTACTCATTATATCGCATATGTTACACTATTATTTTGTGGGTTTAATTTTTGTGCGTCGTCAAGTAAATTTGTTTACATATAGTTATGTCATTTACAAGGTAACTGCAAGTAATTTTTATAATACTTTAATTGATAACGGGGTAAAAAAAAATTGCAGTGTAAGACTAAGTAATTGCCATACAATGTTAATAGAAGTTTAAAATTACAAGTTTGAAAAGCCTTAAAGACACAAAATATTATACAATATGTTTAAAACCCAAATTTCATGAATCTATTTTTCTTTCTTAAATTCGTGCCAAGATAAAATATGGGATGAGTAACATATTTCTCTCGTTTGGTATTAATTATCATCAGATCCATAAGGCCTTCGAATCACAAACTATCAACTTCTCTTTAGGTGATCTATTGGCGTACCCCAACGATCAAATGAAGTCCATCTTTACAGATTCTTATCTACGTTGGAAACTTCTTTTGTTTTTGTTTTTGTTTCGTTTGTTTATTCTTATTTCAATTCTCATAAAGTTTTCTGATCTTAATGACTAGAGACAGACAAAAGCTTGTGATGAGTTGTGAGTTTGACTTCAGCAGTAGGACATTAATGAAGGAACTAGCTTGAAACCCTAAATTATTCATATCCCATAGAGGAATGAAAACTCTTTTGTCATAGAATACATTTTTAAAATTTGGCATACATGACAAGTTCTATTATATTATATTTGGATATGTACAAAATATATGAATACTGGAGCAGTACTAGATTCGAACAAATTTACGTAAATATGATATATCATAAATACTTCCTCGGTGTCAATTTAGTTTTAGCTAGAGACAATCTCTTTGAGGAGCAAGGATTAACATATTGATCAAACTTTGCAGGCAATGTCAAGGGAGGCAAAACAATTTAACCTCGGAGAAGCTAGATATTATATAGTTATAGTATGGACTTCCATTATTTGGCAATGCTTCTTTGTGGGTGTTATTGGAGTCATTTACTGCTCTTCTTCTTTGATGTCTGGGGTTATGATCGCGGTTTTACTTCCGGTTACTGAGGTATTAGCTGTCGTTTTCTTTAGAGAAAATTTTTCAGGTGAAAAAGGCCTTGCTCTTTTCCTTTCTCTCTGGGGTTTCGTATCATACTTCTACGGAGAGTTCAAACAAACAAAGAAGGAGAAGAACAAAAGTCCAAAAATTGAGATAAAAACCACGCATATTGAGTCTGTTTGAATTATTGAGTCTTTTTCATATATTGTTCATAGCTATATGGATATAGATGAATTTTTATTTTTTTGTAGAAAATAGTGTACGTCATTTTTATTTCATTGCTACTTTCGTTATGTTTTTGAAAGGGTCTCTTTCTTTGAAATTTCTAATGTTTCTCTTAAATCTCTAATACAACACATGAAGATTTGCAGTTTCCAGTAAATACTCATTTTTCATGACTAATTCAACATTACGACTATAACACCACTGTTAAATACTAATTAAGAATAAGAGTTTTGATGAATACATTGTGATGTTTTATACTTCAATATCACACAAGAGGGAGGGTGATCTGTGTGGTGTTCATTTTTCCGGGTGCACAAATTATAGAAGGACCTAGTTCTTCTACGTGTTCCTTACACTACAGTTGCGGAATAGTAAGTGCAAAAAGTAAAAAATACAAGTATTTTTACGTGGAAAAGACCTATCTCAAAAAGTGAAAAAACCACGACCTACTTTCCAGTAGGATTTTTCCTAATACTCCACTAAATCGCTGAGCAAAAAACAACATTTACGACTCTTGTAAACCTAAGAATTATCTCTAACCCTTTGTGGTAACCAGCCTCAGGCTGTTGCGACAACTTCAAGTTAATTACTCTAACTTGAACAATACAACTCAAAGTACCTACTACAAATGCTTTTAGGGAAAGCTGAAAGGTACAACTCAAAAGCCATGCTACAATGAAACTAGAATAAAAGACATACACTTGGAACTGGTTCTTCTATCTGGTTCATGTAGATTCAGGTTCGCACACTTGAAACACACAAGAATTGCTTGCGAAATGCGTTGCTAGTTTGCTCTCAATTCTTGCTTAACTTCAGCGTTTGTGCATCACCTGTAGAAGAGAACACACTGATATTTATAGAGTTAGTAGAATAAGAAATAACTAGAGTTCTAATGCTTTACTCTTCCACGGTAGAAGAGTTCTAGTTGTCTTCAACTTCTAATTCCTCCCTTATCTAGGATAGAGTTCTCTTCAAGTAAGGAGTCATGCTCCTTATCAATTATGCAACCTTTTCGTTCAGGAGATATCAGGTATAACCACTTATGCTTATCTTCTTCACGTGCGTGCCTTGTGCTTGAATTTGCCCGTGCCCTGTGTACACTATGTATGGACTTGGTTCATGCAAGTGTTCCTTTGTCAATCATCAAAATAAAACTTACTCATGCCAACAAATTCCCCCTTTTTGATAATGACAAACTCTTTGCTTTTCACAAGCATGAAACCTGTTTCAACTCAGCTCAACATCAACACAATCTTAGAAAACTATCCATTTTAAAATCATAAATTATCAAGGATCAGGTTCATTAGGTTATAAACACCACAGTCCAAAGCAAAAGCAAAACGTATATTCCCCTTTTTGGCATTATCGAAAAGTTACATAATTAAGTTATATAACCAGATTTTAGTAGATTTTACTCATGGCCATTGAGGCTACTCCAGATGCAATCATAGAGTCAAGTATCACTTATCAACCTAAAGATATTATCCATCTAAGAAACATCAACAAAAAATTAGAGCAAAACCAATGATTGTCATTGATAAGAGTCATCCACAAAGAATAGAAGGAAATAAAAGTACTGCACCATGACCAAAAAGACAAAAAAAAAAAATAATCCCATTCGGGTCACTAGTTTTCTAACTAAGCTAGGAATGGTTTAAGGCTGGGAAGGACCGGGTTCTTGGTTTCTGGCCTGAAGCAGCTTCAACATGTCATGAAGAATGCCCATTATTCTGTTTCTCCTTTGCAAGCTCAGACCTGAGGGCATCCTTCTCAGTTTCTACTTTAGCCAGACTCTTCTTCAGCTCTTAATCTCAGCATCCTTAGCCCTACTCTCCTGCTCCAAGGCTCTTACTTTGCTATTCACAGGCACCCTCTTGGATGAACCAGGTTCTTTGGGAGCAGCATGGACTTCATAGTCACAAGCAATCAGGGTGTTGGGCCCAAAGTGATCTTTACTTGTGCTAACATCCAATTTCTTGAGGAGAACCTTTAAGTGAGCAAGCACAACAATGAGAATGAATCCATAGGGTATGGCATGAGTTTTTAGCGAGAGAGTACCCTATCAAGGAGTTGGATGACAAACCTCGACCAGTTGATTTACCTCCTACTATCCAGGTACTCCATAAGGACCAACTCCACGAAAGTTGCAATGTGCCTCCTCTCCTACCTGTCAGAACAACCTTGTTGACAAATTTAAAGAGCAACTTATGGGTAGGCTTCATTTCACTCTTATACGCAGACCTGAGCTGTAGCTCTAAGTCCCTGTCAGCACATTTCTTGGTAATGGCAAGGGAGGTAGGCAGGTTTTCTAGGCTTGGCCATTTCAACTTTTTGTAATCATCGTACCCTTCAGCAGGTAACCCTATAATCTCTCCTAGTTCCTTGTCATCAAAGCTCACAGTCACCCCTTTCACTACACTGGTTACCCTGTCATTCTTGATTTCACAGTTTGCAAGGAACTCCATAATTTCAGCTCGGGCTAGTCTTCCAACTGAAGAACCATGTCCTTCAACCCTGAAGTTCTAGCTTCCCCAGCAGCAGCACCATTCCTTCCTCCTCCAAATCTCTAAGGAGTCTACCCTTCAAAATTATTCTTTTTCCAAATTTCACCATCTTGTCCTATTCTTCATCATTTTCCTCTTCTTCCTCACTCTCTTCTTCCACTACTTGCATTTTTCTTGATTTCCTGGAAGACCTGGTTCTTTTTTCCAAGGCAGAAGGTTCTGTATCAACAGACTTTGCAGGGGACTTCTTTTTGGAATCTTTCTTTTATTTGATTTTGGAGTCACAACCTCCACTTCCTCTTACTCGTCCTCATCATGAAGGACCAGGTCTATCTCCTCAATTTCAATTGTTTAAACTGGTTCACCCACTTTCTTCTTTCCTTTTTTAGCAGCTTTCCTTTTACTCTCATCTAGAGCCTTTTCGAGGCCAGCCTCGCTCTGTTTCCTCAGACTCCTTGTAGCTCTTCTTCTTGTTGGAGGAGTCTCTACAGGGATAGAAGAGGCATCCTTTCTCTTCTTGTGTGCCCTAGTAGTTTCAGGGATTTTAACTCCTGAAATTTTCTTCTTCTTGGGAATTGTAGCTATCAGACACCCTTTTTAGTAAATCTTAGAGAGGTTCCTTCATAGATGGAACAAGTCCATGGAACCTCTTCCTTAACCTAACCAGCCCCTCTGTTGCACTTGCATCTCCAGACCCACTGCCTCCTTCTTCTCTCAAACTCTCTTCCTCCTCAACAGCTTCCTCACTCCATATCACCATTGCCCCTGTTTCTTCACTCAAACCAACAGGAGTGGGTAAAGATTCAACCACTGCTTCTTCTCCCTTTCCCCTGACATCTCCTTTGACACCCTCACTCTCTTTTTCTTTTTTCTTTTTATTTTTACCACCAATTTTGCTAGACTCAGTAGTCTCTACACCAACATTAGTACCAAAAGAACAAATATGTTCCCCATATTTTTAGCCACATCAGAAATGACATCAGACGTAAGTTTTAGCCCAGAAGCTACCTATTCTGTTTCAGACGAAACATGTTCTTCCCCCTCAGTTGCAAACTTGAATTTTTTTTCTTCTGATTTTTAGGGTTCCTCTACTTGACTGGCCTTTAATTTCTCATCTAATTTCTATGGTAGTTCACTACTAGCCATAGTTTTATGAGCAATGATGACCTCCATAACACACCTCGATAAGAGATATGATACGATCGTACGCAATATAAATTACCCAACCATGAGCCGAGGTCGAATCTAGAGGGAGTTATAAGGGGTGTTAGGAGTATATACTTGAAGAAAGCGAATGGATTAACTAAATTTGCACTTCCACAAAAAGTTTTGATTTCCACTTCTACTATTACTCTAACAATTGTGAGCTTAGGAAAATAATCTAGAAATGAACGATTGTTTTTGGTGTTTTTTCAAATAGTTTAAAAGCCTATGAATGTGATTATAACCTAGGTGTTTGCCTAATGGGATAAAGACGTTAATACATGTTTTGTTGATCGGGGTGTATTATAGCTCTCAACTCTATATTACCCACTCAATACCTCTCGGTCAAAAAGTGATTTTGCTCAATTTGGCTTTCTCAAGTCCAAATGGGTATCAAACAAAATAGTTGATATGAGCTCAAGTCGGTTTCTTACTATCTCTAGTTTGAACCCTTTAATTAGGCTAATCAAACACTCAATTAGCCCAATTCCTTGTTAGCCAAGTTATCCTAGACTAGGTCCCTCTTTCGCAAGTAGAGACTAAGTAAAAAAGGCATGAATCAATGTTTGCAACCATCAATTCCAAAATTGAAGCATGAATTAAGCTAAATAATCAACACCTAATCATAAACAAGCATTAAATTAAATACCCATAAGGTTTACACACCAGGGTTGGGTCACAACCCTAATAAGAATCTAGCCACACTGTTGATACCCAATTTTTTCCTGTATATTCTTATATGCAAAATATCTTTAAAATAGCATATATATGCATATATAAGTGTGTCCCAGCATTTTACTATTCTTCCCATAATTTTTTAGGGTTTTTAAACTAATTTATTTCCCTTTTCATCCATAAAAACCCAATAATTATTTCTAAAATTATTATTTTGGTAATTCATTTATTAGAATTTTATATTTATGCTAAGATATAGCTGAGGTAACTTTTTGCATATTTTTACAAATTTATTTAGTATTTTTAAGCTAAATTGCATATAATTGCAATATTAGCCCTTTTAAGATTCAATTGTGTTTTATATTCATAAAATTAAGTCCTATTTTTTTAAATTGTTAATTATATATTATAAATCATTTTAGTGCTTCCAATTAGTTTTCAGATATTTATTTACTATTTTTATAAATTAAATGGGAAAAAAGGGCTATTTAACTTATAGCCAGATTTTGGCTTTCTAATTTAGCCTAAATTAAAACCCAATACCCCAACCCAATTAAACCAACCCAAGACCCAGGCCCAATCCTAAGTCTACCCGACCCAACCCGGATCAAATCTTGACCGTTGATCAATTTTGATCAATGGTCTAGATCCGCCCTTACCTAATTAAGCCCAAACGACCCCCCCAAACCCCTCTCATTCCTCACTCAACCGACCCTCTCCTCTATCTCTCTATCTCTGGTTCTCTCTAGAACCTTCCCCCTCCCCCTCCGCTCCGATGAGT